CACTAAAAATGGATAAAAATGAACTGAATTTGCTTTCTTAGGTCAGCTAGCTCACATAAAATAAAATGAAAAGCATCATTTTGAGAACGTAAGATATTTTTTGTGAAATCAAAATCTAAATGAACATAACATATCAAAACTGCCTGAATATATTCACAGATCAGTAATATTTCTATCACCATTTTGGCAAAAGGCCAGTCAATTTAATTAAACATATACAATAGTACACCTACTGTGTGCCCTGTGCTCTATTACGGTGTTGTTTACAACTATGACTAAAAGCTGTGAAACCAATTTAGACCAGTATTAAAAGAAACGAAATAGAACGGGGAAAAAGACATCAGAAAGCATCAAATGTAAATAAGAATATGTAACACATTATGAATGCTTTGTCTCAGTTCTAGATATGCCTGCACACATGGGTGTATGAGGTGACAATGGGAATGTGTGGCTCGGCGTGGATCAGGACTGCGAGTTTGAAAACACTCTGCGTTAGGATCTCTGGGTCCTACAAGCCTTATGAGGTAGAGCTGCCTTCCTCAAGAACCTTCTAACTGTTAGATGTATGGCAAATACCTAGCTGAGTAGAAACAAAATCCCAGGAACAATCAAAGAAGGGAGGCGGCATCTCTGCTTCAGGTGTCCTGGAAAGTGGTTGATAAGAAGCTTAGAAGATGGGCTGAGCCCTGGAGGGTAGAGGAGGAGAGAGGGGTTCTGGGTAGTGACACATGAGCTGACTTCAGGGAACCCTGAGTGATCTCTGCCACAGCCCAGGGTCCTTGGCTAAGAAGGCAGTTCAAACCACACTGACATCCAGACCACGGAGGCGTCCTTCATTTGATAATGGCAGGACAGCAGGAGGTGAGACGCGGAGGCATCTTTAGGAAGTTTAGGTAACAAAGACTTACAGGATGGAAGAGCGGGCACTTCAGTCAGGGCCCCAGGGTGGCTGGAAGATGTGACTGGTCTAGATGAATGGTTGTCAACGGCCTGAGGGGTGTGTGTGTGTGTGTGTGTGTGTGTGTGTGAGGGGGTTGGGATTGGCAGTACAGATAAATACCAGAATGGTGAGGCATAAAATAGGTTTGAAAAAGCGTGGTTATTATATTTCCTGCGTTCACAACCCAATTTCAGAAAGTGTCACTGTGAAATCCCTTTTGGGGATGGGAGTGTGCACCACATTTTAAAAGAACCCTAACCTGCCCAGGCCCTGTCTAGTTCTAGCCTCTGTTGGATGACTTTATCTTAGGAATGAGTGCGCTGAGGCTGAAAGAGGCGACCTGGCTCACCAGGGTGGAGATGGATCCAGACCCCAAGCCTTACAAACCCTGATGGTGTTCATGCCATCGCCATGCATCACGGGCAGGTTTCCACGTCCCAAGTGTAACTGAGGGGGGAAGGTAGGGAGACTGGCTGGAAAAGTTTGCCAGTTGGAGTCAGATCTTCACCCCTGTTGTCTGCTTTCTATCAGACTGCTATTCTGATAGGCATTGCAGGAAACGGGAATCTGTACAACAGACAGGCCTTTCCCCATGGCCCCTGATCGGGGCAAATATCACTTTGGCCACACCACACACCAAATCCTGTCCACACACAACTAATGGAATTAAAAAGATAAAATACCAAAGCAATGTAGAGCAGCCACATTCTAAGGCCTCCTATCTATCAACCTGTGGTCAGAGATACATTTACGGGCTTTTAAAATTAGGGTCTGTTTCTAATTTCCTATTGGTTTATCAATGTCTTGACCTTTTCCTCATTCATTATTTAATTAATTTATCTGTTTCCCTGTGTCATTCCCAAGTGCACATTTCCCATAAACTTCCAGGACAGTTTATGAAAATGAAAGAGCATTTTTCCTCCGTAATGTTCTCATCGTTATAACTTCTGAGAACAATTTCTTGAGAGATGTTTGGGGAGTTGTATTCCAGAACATATTATCTTCATGGTCTTCTCCCGGTAGGATGGAGAAATGAGCTTGCCTTGAGAGTTGCTCTGAATTTTTCGGTTTCAGTACAAAAGATAAATATCACACTTACAGAAGCTGCAGGAGGAACTTCAAGCAGGCCCACAGTGTAGTCCTGCCAGGGGATGGCCCGTCTGGGAGTGATCGTGGGAAAAAGAGCAATTCTCCCAGGACACACTGAGCCATGGGAGTCGGTGCTTGCCAGTGACTGTGTCGGGTGAGTCTCCTGAGCACTTGGGGGTAAAGGGAGTTATAAATCTTTCCTGAGAAAGGGAAAGAGAGCTTCTCAGAATTGAGTGGGCACATCACCCTTGTCAGGGGTATCTGGACCAGGGCAGCTTGTCCTGCTCACTGGGAGTCTAGCTGACTCCTGCTCTGTGTTGTGCCTGTTTCAGAAGCTGTTCTCTTCACCCACAAGCTCAGAGTCAGTTACACCGTTCAGTTACACCAGAGTCCCTTATGGCAGCCAAGTGACAGCTGGCCACAGTGCAGAGTGATATATGCTTTTCAACGGAGGGAGGAATCTGGGTGCTG